TTCTCATGAACGGCTCTACCAAAATGATGAAACTTTCAGGGTGGATAGATCCGAACTAGTAGAGTAAAAGTTGTCATAGACTTAAAATTCATCGAAGCTTCTTTCTATGCGATATAGAGACATGGGTGCCAAAAATGACTTGAAGTTCTCCCCTGCAAATAGCCAGAATTCATTTTTTATGGTTGAATTTTTTTTGTAGCAACTAGGATCAAATCAGGGTGTATATTTTTTTTTCTTTGAAAAAATAGTGTTTTCTTCATTTAGGAGAACTAAAATACTGGAACTCCTGTCAAAAAACGTGTTTTTTCCTTCTAAGGCAAATTTTGTAAGATCTGCCACAACCCACCATAATATTATTTTAAGAAAAAAATACACATATACACTCTGATTTGATCCCAGTTGTCATAAAAAATTTCAGCTCAATCAGTCGAAGCATCTTGAGAAAAACTCTTATTTTTCTCTTTAAAAAAAATGATTTTGAAAAAAACATGAAACAACGTAAAACGCTAGTTTTTCGATATTTCGTGTTTTTCATTTTTTTTATGCATAGCCATCAAGTAATGCACTTGTAAAGCAATTAGAAGAACACATTGCTGACCTACACAACATATTTTGATGATGAAATAACTATATTAGTATAGATCATTTACAACATGAAAGAGCTGTAGAACGTGATTTATTGTATAGGGATTCTTTAAAGCCGGTTTTTTTAAAGGATCTAAATAACAATAAAAACACTTAAATGTCTTTTTAGATAGAAAAAAGTGAATTTTGGGGGTCGGAACAGAGTGTCCTTAAGTAGAACAAAAAAGAATGAGGAAAACTATTGAACAACGATTCCAAGTGTGAGTAATTTTTTCTTTATTATTTTGATCTAATAATCAGAATATATTTGATCTACTTTTGAACAAAAGAAAAAAAAGACCGAATTTGAGAAAACAGAAAATAAAACATCTTGATCGAGTTGTTTATTGATATTTGATCTCGAAAATATATAATTAATTTAATGAATATGCACGAGAATATACATATAAGTATATATTAAAATTAAATAAAATACATGCCACACTCAGAATTTCATTATACTGATGGCAACAACTACTGTTTTCTGTGAGTACTAGACTATATTCTATAGAGTAAAAAAAAATTTATTTTGAAACTAACAAACATTGTTGAAGAAAATTGATCTTTATTTTAAATAATTCGATTCAAGTATTTCAATTCATCGAAACTACGAATAATTTGAAATGTGAATCAAGAAATTTTATCAGTATTATATTTGATAATTCTAAACAAACTTTTATAAATAATTTTTAGGAAGGTCTCTAGAAAATCATGATGATATACATAGTATGAAACAGTTGTTATTAAAAATGAGAAGAGTTTAGAAAAAGAAGAATCGTTACGTTCTATTATGAAAAGTAAATTATGTGCACGTGTAGAACATTTCGAATGTATGTGAAATATAAGAAATGAGATAATTTTTAAGAAATATCATATTGTAATTGATTATAACTAAATACATGATTCATTTATCAACCAAAAAGCAGTGAAAAAGAAAATAATTGTTTAATTGTAAAATACTACCTTATATATTCTATTAAATCTTTTAAAAGTTATCTTAATACTTTCAAACTAAAAATTAGCATTATTTTGAATCATTTCAAAATTAAGAAAAAAAACACCAGAAAAAGAATTATTCCACTTAAACAAAAGGATTTTTTTTTACATAAGATATTCTAATCGAATTAGTAAGTCTAATCTATGGACAAATAACAAAAGATCCATTGCCTACTTCATTTATAGACTATTCTATTCAATATGAAAACATTGATTTGCAGAATTATGATATAGTAACAACAACTGTTAGTCCAGAAGAAACAAGTACATTGTGTGTGAATTCAACTGAAGCTATAACTACGATAACAACAATAGGAATCGTGTGAGTATTCTATGTTAATACATAAAAAAAAACTCTTCCAGATAAATTGTAGAAGCATATTATTTGATTCTAATAAAATATTCTTTATATAGATCAACATCTAGAAATAATTCTATTTGTGTAGCTCCGATATGTCGTAATGGAGTTATCGGTGTTTCATGTAATATAACTACGGATCAATATTCTATAGTTCAACCATGCTTAAACTTAGCAACATGTTATCCAAATGTTAATATGCCACTTGAGTATATATGTTTATGTGTTGTAGGTTTTTCTGGTGTAAATTGTGAAGTCGATGACTGTTCATGCCGCCTTAGTTCGAGTTGCTTTAATGATAGTATATGCAATGAAAGTTAATGTATATGTCCTACAGGTAAAACAGGTGATCATTGTGAATATGAAGTTGCTGTATGTGCAAATATAAGGTGTGAAAATAATGGTCAAGGTATACCAATCTATAGTGATTGGTCATGTCGATGTACGAATACTGAACTTTATTCAGGTGCTTATATTGCGAAATAAAATCTTCGAGTTTATGTACAAAAGAAATTGTTTCACGTTCATTTGCTTGTATTGTTATTGAATGTATTGCAACTGTTATTGGTTTTGTTCTTATTATGGATGCATTAAAATATTTTTTTTCCATATTATATCCAATTGATAATGATTTAAGTTCATCGAAGAAAAAACAACGAAGAGATATCAAAAGAAAAAAAAAGAAGTCAAACAATCAGTACTTGCTGTACGATTTCAATATGTTCATGCATAAAGAACTTAAAATCTTTTTTTGTTTTGAAAAATTTTTAAAATAAATATATTTCACTTCAAATAATGTCAATTATGGTGAATAAAATTAATAACAATCTCTCAGGCAGGTATGAGTGTTTATATTCTTTTATTCAATATCTACATCTCATGCGAGAATTGATAGAGTAGCCGGAAAATAGGAGTTTAGTTAAATTCTAATATCTTTTTTTTTTTGTAAAAGAGAAAGTGTCTTCTGTGTTATATTCAAACCAGGAATATTCGAAGCTTCGAAGAGTGAGATTAAGTAAATGATAACATACCGATATTATTTTGTTGATGGTGTCCATGGAACCAAGATTATGAAATGAAAATAATTGTAAATAAATAAATCGATGTCGAATAAAGCCTTGAAAAAAGAACATACTCTATTGGTCGTGGAGTGTCATCTTCATCCGATAGATAGACGTAGTGAAATAATATGATTCACAATTAGTAAAAGATAATGTCGATAGAGGGTGTTAAAATCGCTTTTCAATATTAATCGAAAATCTCTACTGTGTTTGAAAATGAACAAAGAGGGATGAGAATTGAAAACATGAAAAGGGTGTAGCAGATGAATTGTGTAAGAGTTCATTGATCGACCATTCAAAATTCATTAATAGTAGCTATTAATATCATGATAACGTTCTTGTCTCACGAGGGAATCTCTTCAGTTGCCTCCTTCTAATTTCAATGATTTTTTTTTGTCTATAGATACTATGTAATGGTCTGATAAAAACTCTAAGACGATTTCGGTTTCTATTGATATTTGATTAACCTATGAAATTTTTAATATGTTTATTTTCTAGCAGCTTCAGGTTTTCAGCAAACTCTTATTTTCGAATTTTGATCTGAAACTTTCTTTATATAGAGAACTCAACTAGACTAACTTTCATAAAAAAATTCACAAATTTTGAACAAAGTCTCTTCGAGATACGAGACTTTCAAAATATAGACCTTTTTTCAGGGATGGTGTATACAGCATGGATTTTTTGAAAACTTTACATCTCGAAGAGACTTTGTTCAAAATTTGTGAATTTTTTTATGAAAGTTAGTCTAGTTGAGTTCTCTATATGAAGAAAGTTTCAGATCAAAATTCGAAAATAAGAGTTTGCTGAAAACCTGAAGCTCCTAGAAAATAAATATATTAAAAATTCCATAGGTTAATCAAATATCAATAGAAACCGAAATCTTCTTAGAATTTTTATTAGACCACTACGTAGTATCTATAGACAAAAAAAATCATTGAAATTGGAAGAGGACAACTGAAAAGGTTCCCTCGTCATTAGTTTGAAGTAAATATAGATCTATCGAGAGAATTATAATTTAAAATAAAAGAAAACTTTTCAAATAAGTGGTTTTTATATCATCTCTAATAAGCTATTCTATATTCTGTCGAACTCTGAACTACACACGTCCATACATATCGCATTGTTACTAATTGAATCATTTGACAATAGTTATCAACCAGATGCATTATTAGTCAGTTCAAAAACTGACTTTCTTATTATAAAGCAAACAAAGGAAAGGATTTCAGTAGTCAAAAAAAAACTGACAGAGCAACGATATAGTTCAAGAAGAAAAAACAGACAGAAATTAGATAAGTTGACTAGAAAATGAAAAACAATGTCGCATCTACAAAAGATCGTAATGATTTATTGTTAATTCTCGTGAAAAACAAATAAAATTAAATACTACAAGTGGGATTTCTATAGGTTCAACTATGAAATATGGCATAGTTATTCCTTTAAAGAGCTCTTTCGTTCACCTAATTGGAATATATGTCTAGTTTGTTGTTGTAACCTGAGACATATGACCATATTTTTCTAACCATTTGAGTTCTTCTCGAACTTTAATTTTTCCATGCCAAGGGTTATTGTTCAGCGAGTTGCCTTCATTTGGAAAAAGTAATAATTTAACCGGTACTCCTAGATAATTTAAGCTACGTTCTAAAATAAAACTTTGATCTGGCGGAATTCGAATGTCATTTACGCCAGTGACAATGTGTGTAGGTGTATGCACCTTATCTAACTGATTCATAATTGATTCTTTGGCATAAATTTGTGGTATTTCCCATGGAAATCCACCGAATAGAGTATTGACATATATAGGAAAATCTGTGGTACCCCAACCAGAAACATGCTCAACTCCTCCTGCACCAGATAGGGCAGCATTGAAACGTGTTGTTTGTGTAATCAACCAATTCGTGAGAAATCCTCCATAACTATAACCTCCAATGGTAAGTCGAGACGGGTCAGCAATGCCATCCTTAACAAGATATTCGACACCAGCAAGGATATCTTTTCCTGGTCGAGACAACGGTTGAAAAGTAATATCATTGAGAAACTGATCACCATAACCGGTCGAACCTCGATAGTTCGGTTCAAATACTAACCAGCCTTCTGTAGCAGCTAATGGTGCCCAACTGTACCAGTCTGGATAAAAAGAATTTAAATTGGCATCAATAGGACCCCCATGAATGAGAGCGAGAAGAGGCAAATTTTTACGTTCGAATTTTCCTGGTGGATAATGTAAAATGCCTTCAATCATACGATCATCATCATTACTTATCCATTTGTACAATTTAGCTCGTGGTAGATTTCTTTTTGTTAACAATTGATTTTCATTAGTAATTGCTTTTGCCGAACGAAGTTCATCGATATGATCAATAAAATAAACTTCTTCTGGTCGATCAAAAGATGAATAAAGAAAAGCAAGTGATGAGTATCGTTTTGAGGTTGATGAAGAGATCGATCGATAAGTTCCATTCCAACTACGTTCCAAAAACAAATATTTCAATGGTGATTGCTGCGTGTATATTTGCACATTAGTTCCCAATTGTCCCAATATAAAAACACCACCTTCAGATCTAATAGCATAATCATTAACAGTTCCTTCGAAACCTTTTCCCCAATTTTGAATCTGTCCATTTGTTAAATCAATTGAGCATAATCGTGGTTGTGTATTATTGAATTTTCTATTCCTTGATGTAATCGGAAAAACTTGAAAAAATATATGTTTCTCATCACTTGATAGCCGTAGATTATGTTCGATTCCTTCATTGTTCGTCAATCTTGTTAATGATGATGAATTGTACAAATCAATGGAATACATTTCGATATCATATATATTTTCGATAATCGTCGTTATGGATGTGCACACCACTTTATGTTCAGATGGCACAAACAATAGTTCACCAACTGTGAAATTCAGTTTCTTGATAGTATTAATTTTGCTAGTGGACTCATTCGAAAAATAACATGACCACTTTTGAGTAGAGGAGGAGGCATTAATCAAAGAGTGACGGTCGATGCCATTGAGAAGGGAGAGAATAAAGCGGGTAAGTCATAATATGAGTAAAACTAAATTAACATTCTCATTAATTTCTACAGAAATCCGCCTGTTTATGTTTCAATTTCGTCAAAAACTGTATAAATTTTGCTCTAGGAGTTGTCAATTCTGTTTCCAAATTGATGCGTAGAATCTAATACCTATACAAATGATTTTCTATCTGTAAAATAAGAAATTTTTCTTCTGAAAAAAAGCTGTTCTAATATTTCTTTCATACATGTAGTCAATCGATCAAGTGAATGAACATCAATTCTATACATTTGAAAGCAAAGCCAAATATCTCGAACTCGAACCATCTTCTCGAAAAATACTAGAATACGATGAAGGCTAACATACAACGTCCGTACGAAATAATCTTAAGTTTCTTGCTTAACATGTTCGATTGACTTAATGCGAACAAATCGAAGGTATTATATCTGAATGATCACATAACTCTTCGATTTTTTCTGCTTATATCAATACGATAGATTGTACTACCATCACTAGGTTCACGTCGACGATATTCAATGACATCTTTCCATTTGGTTTCATACAAAAGATTGGCATCTTCGGTCGATTGAGATGATTGTGCAGCGAAATAGAGCGACGAATCAACATCTGACCATGCTAGAGCCGACGGAATTTGATTACCAATTTCAATAGAGAACAATTCATCTGAAATGACACTATGAAGATGAATCTGTTGGTCGTTTTTCGTCTGATTCTTGACTGAACGTCGAAAACGATGACGATTATCTGTTGAATCGGTTGCGGCTTTATCGTTGATTAAGTACACGAACCAATCTCCACTTGGTGACCATTTTGGTTGCATAATTCCAGACAATTGTTTAGTGATCAATTGTTTTCGTCGTCCATAAGTTTCATAAAGCCATAAACTATTCTCGAAAGAGTTAGAATCCCATGCTGGACGTTGACTATATATCAATAAATATCGACCATTCGGAGAGATACGTACTGATTGAAAATTAGTCGCATCAAAGAATTCATCGATAGTTAACTTTGACTGAGTTTGAGTCGATGAACACCACAGAAGTGTAAAAACAATTAATAAATATAATTGCATTTTCTATGATTGATGTTACTGATTCTAAACGAAACAAAGTCTAAAACGATAAGAATTCTGTACATAAAGTCGCAACTATCGATGAAAAATGCATCAAAAGATAATGTATTATGAAATAAAAATGTCGAACTTGTAGTAGAGATATGTCATAAAATGCTATTTGATATTTGAGTAATACAGAAAAAAAACCATTTGTATATAAACGAAACGGTTTTTGTTTTCACAGAATCAATTTCATACTCTGGTTTCAATATGCTTTTAATCTACCACAAATCTCTGCATACAAAAACCAACAGATAAAAAACGCAGATACGTTCATATTAAACCTTTACACTGGTTTATAAGATAAAATATCTTGACTTTTTCTTTCTCGTTGTTGGATATTATCCGATAGATTATTGGTCTTGTTTTCATTATTTCAAACTTAATCTTTGTTATGAGCAAAGACAAATGCTTTTTCTTTCTTTCTCTCTCTCTTCAAAACATTGACTCGAATGTATATGGTGATGAGAAATTTTGTTTTACTTGCTGATAGCATTTATGTTATACAAGATGCATTCGAGCGGCATGATAAGTAATCTACGTCAACCAAACAAATTCAATCTATTTCGAACTTCTATTGCTATGCCGTCTTTGCTTAGATATTGAATATTTTTAGAAAATGTCGTATATTATAATTAAATTTTCGATTTTGATGTAAACAATAGTTCAATAAAATTCCGAGCGATAATGATTGAAAAAGGATATGAAGCAGACGTTTTGCATGTGTTCCTGTACATTGAATATATAAAGTAGAATGGATGTGATCTTTTCGTAGGCATCATCACATAGAGTACGAGCAGACGCTAATCAATTATTCATCATCGATTGTGTTCATTTTTCAGGATTCACATCTCGACTTTTTGTTCGAACGATTATTTCAAGTATCTAACACTGTCTTTTTGATCTCAAAATTCAATCAAAGTCGATACAATGATAATTTTCTAAAAAATAATAATTAACAATAAATTAATCGCCTAGATTTTTTCCGGAGATCATTTCCCGAAAGGCTAAATACATGCCTTAAGAATCATCTATTTTTCGATCGAATCAGGCGAAGATTATTCTGGAACTTATTTTTCTACAAATAAATCTTACAAAGACTGATTTTGCATCGTATTAATTTCAAAAGAGATGGAGTTTAATATTTGGTGAACAATCGTTTACTTTGAGTGTAGAACATGTCTCAAGATATTTCAAATCATCAATTAATATGATCACATGGATGCATGCAAAAGATGCAACTAAACGATCAGGACAACTTGTGTTCTCAGTCGAGTTGATTCGAATGAAATATGACGAAAAACAATTAACAGAAACCAAGGAAGAAAAAGGAAGGCTTTGGTCTTGCGATGTACTGACATCTCGCTTTTTCTCTCTTGACTACACTTCTCAAATTTCAATATAAGGAAGTCTATCAATGAACGAAAAATTTATTATCCATTTATAAAGCATCAAAACATTTGTCCAATCGCTAATGCAAAAAATATTATTTATGCTATATTGTACTACTTACTGTGTTCGAACGCTCTTGCAGAATACGAGGACATGGAATAGTTGAATGCCGATTTTTAAGAGAGGGTCCACGAGATCACCACCACCCAAGAAAGTTGCCAAAAAATTTTAGTTTTCGTAATGAGGTTGTTAGTTTGAAAGAACATAAAAAATGACTCAGAAATCCAAATTTTGACAACTTTTCGATAATGTCTTCTAATACTTTGACCATTCAATAGTTTTCATCCAAAATATCGATTTATCAACAACTATGGTTCTTCGATCATTTTTGTTTATGAATTTTTTCTCGCAAATATTTGATCAAACTTATTGTCAAATTATATCAATCGATGGAGTGGAAGCCGCGCTATAAAACTCTATGTTTCATATAGTTCATTATCTACTTCATAAATCGAAAAAATCCATTATAATGAGTGAAATCGACTATTTTTTGATCTATTTTACATGTTGTGTTTTACTCTTCTTGCTTCTGTTATACAGTTAATTTTCAAGAGTTCAAGATAAATTTTATATGGTTTTGTAGAGTGATAAAAGGCACATCTTTTAGTAAAAAAATATTGGTTATAAATTACTCACAGCTTTCCGAAAAGCGCACGATAATATTGGTCCAAGTACGAATTTTTTAATATTTTCATAAAAATATATGTGCAGTTTTTTTAATTTACCGGTCGCTTGTTTTCGAGAAAGTCTAAGTTGTTTGGTAGAAGTTATAGAAAGGCATCCGAAACACGATCAAAACGTTATGTTCTCACTTTTTTCCTGCTGGTAAGATTAAAAAATGAATGATTACTTAGTTAAAATTCCTCGTACCGCACCATTTCTCACGAGGGAACATATTCAACTGTCAAAATACTCTTGAATTTGGCATGTGCGCAAACGATAGATTTCAGTGAGTTATTAAATGCCTTAGAATGGTTTGGTTTTCCAGTCTTCTGTTGTCAAGTTATGGGCTTTTTACTTGATTTTGGCTTATGAGCATAAGATTCTTCTGAGTACCTGAATAATCGAATTTCAAACTGAAATTTTGCTCATAGATAGACCTTATAAGCACTAGGAACTCCCCAAAGTTTGAGCCAAAACGAATGCATCCTAATCGAGATATCAGCTCGTCATGAAAATGTCTCTATTTTGAAACACAGCTCAAAACAGGCGTTTCTTTAAAATGCGAATATCTCGATTAGGATACATTCATTCTGGCTCAAACTTTGGAGTATTTCTAGTGCTTATAAGGTCTATCTATGGGCAAAATTTCAGTTTGAAATTCGATTATTCAGGTACTCAGAAGAATCTTATGCCCATAAGCCAAAATCAAGTAAAAAGCCCATAACTTGATAACAGAATGCTGGAAAACCAAACCATTCTAAGGCATTTAATAACTCACTGAGATCTATCGTTTGCGCACATGCTCGATTCAAAAGCGATTTGGCAGTTGAATATGTTCCCTCGTCAGTGAATTAGATGCGATCATTCAATTTAATTCAGTTTTTCATGATGATTTCCAGTTTGTTACTCGCAACAGATGTCATTCTATGACGCTAATCTTCCTCTTATCCTTATCATTGGTTTATCTCATCCACTTTAATATTGTATCCTTCATTATATCACCTGGGTTGTTTTTCACTGTTTAATGTAGCGTGAAACAGAATATGTGATACATTCTACACAGTACAAGGTTTGTATGTCTTGAAGAAAAATTCAACATTAATGTAATGTTTCATGAGTTTGCTTTTAATTTTCCGGCATACTCATCAGCTTCGAAATACATGAAATCTAGACATCCCATGTCGTATAGAACGGCTCGTAAACTGCCTTAAATGACTTGAAAACGGTGAAAAACGGCTGTTGTTGCGAGAGTTGTTTACGATCTGCCGTTAAACGGAGAAATACGGCGATAAGCGATGACCTGTACGATGATTGTTTGTGTACTAGCGGAAACGATTATCATTACGACCGTCGTTTTTCATCATTTTCACATCATTTTTCATCGCTTCAAAAAGTGTCCTAAAATCATCATTAGGGACTTTCTAATAATCTATAATCCATTGGTCATTATCTACTGAAAAAAAATCGTCTTTTTTAATCCAGATTCCGTTCACCATCTAGTTCAATCGTAAGTATTGTATTTGAATAAATATATTTTTAGATTTATCTCATTGATATATTCAACAGCAACTATTTTGTTTAGATATATTAATTTTTTTAAAGACTTTTCTCATTAAAATATTCAACAGTAAGTACTCTATTTAAGTAAATATATTTGTTTATTTTGTTTTGTTTAGATTTATCTCAATTAAGTATTTAACAGTAAGTATTTTATCTATGTACATAAAGTTTTTTTAAAATTATATTGATATCCTTAATATATTCAATAGTAAGTATTCCATTTAAATAAGTATTTTTTTTTCATTTAGATTTTCATTGAAATATCTAACAGTAATTTATTTTTTTTATTTAGATTTATCTCAATGAAATATACATTAGAGGGTATTTTATTCAAATAAATAAATACTGTTTCTTGTGTCTACGAAAGGTGAGAAGGGGACGAAATATCGTGCTCCTCTTCACTGACGTTAGACGGCAAAAGATAAATAAAGTCGTAAACAAGGAAAATAGGTGTAATCGTATACGTTCCGAGGAAAACGGCGGTCGTTTTTCATCGTTTAGGGTAGTAATCACGCTGTTTTTTCACCGTTTTAGGCAGTTTAAGACGTCGTTTCAGCCGGTCGAAATGATCGACCTGAGATGAGCAGAATGTGACCGACGTAGGTGAAGTTACAACCATATTCGACTAAAACTTGCCCATATTCGTCTAGAAGCGCGTTCCAAGACTCTCAACCAGCCTTCCAAGTAGATCTTCACGAGCTCTACTCAATGGTACAATCACATTTTTCATAATCCAGCCTATGGTCCCGAAAATCTCAAAATACTGTACTTTGTTAATGAAATTCTAGTATCATATTCGAGTAAAAGTTACTCATATTCATCCAGGAGTTCATTCCAAGAGCTCCGTGCCTGTTTCAAGTACAGCTCGACGAGCTCTATCCAATGGCATCCTCAGATTTCCGATACATCAAAGTATGATTTTCGAGCTGATAGAAGGCGTCACAGAAAAATCTGAAAATCATACTTTGATGTATCGGAAATCTGACGATCCCATTGGATAGAGCTCGTCGAGCTGTATTGGAAACAGGCATGGAACTCTTGGAATGAACTCCTGGATGAATATGAGTAACTTTTACTCGAATATGATGCTAGAATTTCATTAACAAAGTACAGTATTTTGAGGTTTTCGGGACCATAGGCTAGACTATGAAAAATGTGAATGTACCATTGAGTAGACTTCGTGGAGATCTACTTGGAACGCGCTCCCAGGCAAATATGGGCAAGTTTTAGTCGAATATGGTGCTAACTTCACCTACGTATGTGACAGTAGCTTTTTTTCTCTT